ATTCCCAAACGGAGTTAACTGCGAAAGTTTGCAGCAGACTGAGTCACGCCTGAGATAATTCGAGAAAAAACTATTCCCTCGACGATTCACAGCTAAAACAAAAGCGTCTCCAGATCGGGGCGAGATAACGAGGTGCTAATAATGAACAACAAAGACAGCGGTCCGAAGCCGCCCCGGATGCCGCTCGTCTGCCTCGGCTCCCCCGCCCGTTGTCAATCGCCGCTCGGGGGAGGAAACGACCCGAACCCCCAAAATAGCTGACTTGCAATACCCATGAAGATAATTGTCACATGCCGACGAGAATCATCATCAATTATTCCACATAAAAAAATTAGCAAATGCCAAATGTTAAAGTCCTCCCCCCCTTGAAAAAAACAGAACTCGGTGTCCTGGGGCCGAGACGGTTGCTTGCCCTGATCTACTCTGGCAGCGACAATGGAACTGGCTAACCTTAGGCCTACCACTTTCCCATTGTTCGTGACGGCAGTACTTTCCGATTAGATCGAAAAATCCGGGCTGTTCAAGTCAAAATGATCTCGATTCTCTGATAAGAAATAAAATGAATTCCCTAAAGATTGTTGGACATTAGCTGTGACGTAGCGTAATCGTCAGAGCCCAACCGCTTCTCTTTGTAAACCTTAAAAAACGCCATGGAAATTCATTAGTACTTGTCAAAAAATTCACAAAACTTAATTCGAAGCTGAATTTTGCTGCGGAGAATTTTTGAAATTTGAGTCTGGTCCGATTATCCTGTATGTGAATGATTTCTGATCTTCAGGGTAAAACACCCTGTCAGAATCTATTCTTGCCCAATTTCTATTTCAGGGGAGGGCGGTATTCAAGTGGCGATAGTTTACGCCCAACAAGTCGCCGCGTCAAAGTTCCAATCCTTCGTATAATGTTTCAATGATGTGGGAAAGTTGAGAATTCACACTTGATCCCAGGGCAACTTGATTCATGCCATACCTCAGGGAGCAGTTTCTGAGGCGATATATTCCTTTTAAAACACAACTAGCCAGCATAAAATTGAATAAAAAGAATAATTTAAAGTAAGACGGGTTTGTATTGGGCAGTGTGTGACCAAGGCCGTTGTTTGAGAACTGCAGCGACCATAGGAAGAATTTATAAATGGAATTTAATGTGACTTCGTGCCTATTTCTCTGATCAATTGTACCAGTTTGCGATTACCGCAGAGGGAATCCAAGATTTAAAGGAGCGGATCTACAAAGCTAACACGGGAAGTTTCATGCCCACTCGATTCCTAACAAGTAACATTCGTCATGTTGTAGTAATTGGCTTCTTCTATCCCGTCTGCTGAAGGACACACCTTTCAGGATTTGGGATTTCAGTAATTCGTTATGTCTGGATAAGTTCCTTTTCATTTCAGCAATATGTGACCTTGACAATCTGCTAAGTAAATAGACACCTACGCGTATACACATTCAAAAATAAGTCTAAGAAATGGCCTGCATACTAAAAATCGTGAGACAATAATATGCATCGTAGCAGAGGCATGGGTGGGATCTTTCACTAAGGGGTACTTAAGGGTTTTTAAAAAAAAAGAGTTTTATGGGGTCGATGAATTGAAGGAGGGATTCCATATCAAGTCCCATGCCTCCCGTCCCTCGCGATAGTCTCACGCAATCCGAACGGAACCAACCTGTTATGAACTGGTCAACACGTTTAGTGTTCTTAAGTTGGCTTTTCCTTTTCTCTAACAATCCAGTGTCACATCTTGCAGGTATCTCAGTTCCAGGCGTCACATTCGATTTTCGTCAAAAGGGAGAAACTTGATGTCGACAGGTTATGGATTTCCGCTTCACCAAGATAAATCAAACGCATTATCGCAAAAAAACCCCCGTAAATTATCGTTTTTCCCCTGTGAAGCTCTGAAGCCTCATCAAAATGTCACATGAGTTTTACAAGAATTCGAGCAAAACACTCACATGCACAGTGCAGTGACATATCTTGTGTGGTATGGGAATAGGGCCTAGACCTTATTCTTGGGAAACGCCATCTCGTTTCCTAAGTCAATCGTATTCGATATAATCTGTTCTTTTGGGTGGTGCCCTGACTATTTTAGGCTTCAAACCTCACTTTCATTTTTAAATATGGCTTAAAAGATAAAACAGAATTTGTCACAATGCAAATTTTTCTAAACAATATCTTGCATGAATTTGTGTGAACTTTTATTCCGTCCCTCAACGGTTATGTTTACTTTTTGGTTCCCCAAGTAAAAAGTTTAACCTCACTTTCACTTCAAGATGGCCGACTCATGAATACAACCTATTTCCCCCAGACGTGTTTCAGATCCCCCCCCTTATTTTCTCTATTTTAGGAACCAAATCCCTACATTGTCCCCTCTACCACTCAGACTCAAAACCTGGGTCCATCATTGCGCGAAACTTTTTTTTGTCGCCAGATCGTTCATTTTTGTCTCATGGTACACGCAGATATCTTCATTCAGAAACAGTCATCACGGCTCATTTCCAACATTCGCAGTCATCAGGAGTTTGGTCATACCCCAGCGTTATCATGAAAGATGGCCTTCCACCGGGACGCTAGGCGTGCTTAATTCAGTGAATAATGCACGAGGTCGGCTTGTTGAACTTAATTAGCGAGTAGGATTGGAATATCGATTTAAATTGAATGCTTCCATCTGGACAATTAATTTTACAACCGAAACTTTGTTTTTATCACAACATGAAATTCAAATAGCCCGAGGAGCATTGTTCCGCTTGTCTAAAGCCGTATGGCTGAAACATCTGCCATGAGATGAAATAAACCGTTGAGGTTTTAAGTCAAGTACATTATTACTCTCCTCAACTTCAATCCATTTTTCAGACACGTAAAAACGTCCCTTCGGTCGATGGAACTATATATGCATGTATATTGAAAAACATCGACCTCGAAATCGAACTGGGCCAATTCGTGGTTTTCTCATTTCACGCTCCGGTCTCAAAATAAAGACCAGCTAAAATCGCTAGAGACTTGGCGCTTTTTTGGTACTTAGGCCAATGATTCCTCAAGAGAGCGCACAAAAGAGTTATTCACAATCCTGAAGACACCTAGGAGAAGTGAGTTGGGAGGACTAGTAGGATTACATGACAACCCTCAGGATCGGGCCAGAAGACCCAAGGCGAAATGGTGGCATTTTTTTTTTTTTTTGCGGCGGGGCGATGTGAATTTGATACACCAGATTGGATGGAACTTGACCCACTCAAGGGCGGCTTGGGGTATGGGTGGCAACGGGGCCATCCCCCGGCCTAAATTAAAATCAAAAATAAAAAAGCGAGAGAAAGGCTTTTTGTTTTGCTTTGTTTTCTCTATTTCATTTCTCTCTTCTAAAAAGCGTGTAACCCCCCCATGCAGGTTCACCCTACCCCTAGAAAGGCCAATGAAGGTTACATTAAAAAAAATTCGAAAGTTTTTGCCTCCCTAAACAAGCCCCCCCCCCCGAAAATTTGGTCCTAGACCCCTCCCTTGAACTCACACTCTGAAATTTACATCCTCCCGAAGCCCAATTCCATCGACAGTTACCAATCGACAGTCTGAGGTACCCGTTGCTTCACCAGAAGTGGATGGGCCCAGCTAGGTGCTCGGTGGTTAAGATATCTGTACTAGGAAGCAGGAGGTTCTAGGTTTGAGTTCCACCAACAGGATAGATTTTTTGAACCGATCGAGTAAATGGGGTGTGCTAATAATTTTGCCGTCCCCAACGGATGAAAGTGCAAATAAGGGACGAGTCTTTTTGCCAGTATTCATTTTTGTTCCCTCTCCGAAGTGTGTAAGACAAATCAAAATCTAGCCTCACGCCAGGATAGACCGCGAGATTACGTAAAATAGTCAAATGTTTTAGCCTCCCAAAATTATTTCCCCAAAAATTTGGTTCCGGCACTTGCTAAGTCTCTGAAAATAAGGAAGGAATGAGCGTACATGTGCTAAATTTCCCCGGTGAAGGCGAATCGAATTAACATCCACACTGTCTTGAACAGCGCCTTGTACTTTCTCAGCTGCTCAAAGAAGGACAGAGGGCGCCAAATAGAGTTTGTGTCACGGCAATTTTCTGTTGTGCTGGCTTCACATTGAAAGGCGACGCAAGTCGAAAAATGCGACGCCCGTTGAAAAATGCGACGCACGTTGAAAAATGCGACGCCCATCGAAAAATGCGACGACGGTTGAAAAATGCGACGCACGTTGAAAAATGTGACGCCTGTCGAAAAATGCGACTGGCACATATGGAACACCATAGCTAGTAGCAGTAAGTAACGTTTCTCAGAAGCTGTCAAAAAAATAGGGGGTATTATAGGCAGAAACCGTAGCTTGACAGTTTTACTTTCATCATCTTTCAAGAGTTGCACCTCCTTAATGTTCAATGTGTTTTCCTCTCTATCTCCTCGACGCATTTGGTAATTTATCTAATTCCTGTCTACGGGCTACATGCTGATTTCAATTACTGCTCTTCTTTCCTGAGACGAGACTCATTTTGTGACTCACTAGCCAATGCTTTCCATGAAGGATGACTCCGGAAATGGTCTCAAACCAAACTGCTGAAAGTGTGGTGGTTATTCTAGTTGACAGCTAGTAAGATAGAAATCCAAGGCTAAACATTAATCACTGGCACGCTTTTCGGATAAATGAGCAAAATATGCAGTAGGTCACTTTAACTCAACTGATATCTCTTTTTGGCACGTTGGGCGTAGGAACATTCACAGGATTACGTCATTGACAGTCACGACTTACTACAACTGATTATGTCTCATTCTAAAAATACTTCTAATCATCCAGATATGGGTCGTAGTACTTCTTGCCACTCGAAGTCCGTCAAACTATGACTAGTGCTTGTTGGTCTACAGCGAGAGTTCTTTTTCTTTTTTCAAAGGCCCACGAGTGAACACAGTGTTTGAACTACATGCACTATTCACAATACACCTGGGAAACTTTTTGGAAGCAATCTCCATTTCCGTTAATGTATGATATATCCCCAAAGAAACAAATGTAATACTGGTTGGGTGAATTGTAAAAAGTGATACATTATTAGACTTAAGCCGAATTCGAATTTGAATAGCATATTTGAAATTATTTGAAATTTTTCTCAGCATTTGTAAGAAAAAATAAGTTTCTCAGAGTTAAAGCTTGACTACGAACAACATGTTGTTAGCCTTAAAAATCGTAATCATTACAATAAACTATGCCAAATCTTGCCTTCAAGAAGGATTCCGCTAGGATTGAAATGTTGGGTCCTCTAACTTTTAAAATCTTTGTGCACTTCAGCTCAGTCCAGTCTGATAGACACCACCTTATCTATTTCTTACTTCTGAGTGATAATTGCCAGAGGAAACTAATCCTGGCCTCGGTTTGAAAGCTGGTTCCCCTCAATTATGGTTCAGGACGCACGGTAATAGCTGCATCGGGTCTCGCTTCCACTCGCATGCAGAGAAAGCCATCTGGGGGTAACTAATTAGTTCAAAGGGGCTCTACTCATGAATTGATGGAGGGTAATCGATGACTCCAAACGATCATCATCTACCGGTGTGCTGGCAAGTCTAACTAGATGCAGACATCCCACGGGTATCGTATGTCACGGTGAAATGTAATAACTGCTCTGCTTGTTTTACTGAGAGAAGTGAATCAGCAACAATTATATCAAATCATCTCACGTGTTTTATATTTGTCATCCCCACACAGCAACACTTCTTTTAGAAGCTCACTCAGTGTAATCATCAGACGACTAAAAAAAAAACATTTTTCCCTAGTTTCAACCAGGTATGATTCTGTAACGACGAAATCCATCAGTTGTAAGTATAGGGATAATGTTGAATGCGCTAGATAATTTTAAATAGCTCGATGAAGTTTGTTAATACTACTGGGAAACTTTGACCTTATTAATTTTCTCCATAACAGAGATGCCGACATTCGGTGATTCAAAGACCTACGAACAATAACCCGTAGCTCTATAGATTAAAGCAGCTATAGGCGGTAGCAGAACACTCATCAGAATGATAAATCAATGATGAAGATCTGAATATGGATTTTGTCGTAGACTAATATTATTGATTGTTAGAAGTGGTGGTATATCCGGTTGACTCACGAAAATGGAACATCTATTAAAGGTGGTAATTCGATGTCTAAGCCCATTTGATGCGACGAGCAGTAACAACGAACGTAAGTTGTAACAGTCGAGACACATGTTTACTGTGAGTGAGAGGGAAAGCGTCGCTGATCTGTCCACCCAAAAAAGACCTTAAACTAGCGGTGGATCCTTTAGCTCTCTGCAGTTTGATGCTAAGGGTTCTTGTTTCTCTTGTTTTACCATTCATCTCTCGATAAAATCCCTGGCATCATGGGTGAAAATATCACCAAGGACGGAGCTCCATCACCGACGACATTACCAACGATTCCCGTTCTCTACCTCAGGGAGCAACCTCTCCGATACGTCGCCCCAAGTGTCATGGCTTTGACTCTGGTCGTTGGAGTCTTCGGAAACGCAAGCCTTCTGTATGTCAATTTGCGGGCTCTGAGGGGAGGTAAATCCCAGGCCGTGTTGGATGTCTTCCTTGCCAGCCTGGCTGCTGTAGATTTACTCCTTCTTATCACAACAGGTCCCTTCTTCGCCGCTGAGTTTGTCCTGGAGGACTGGCCGTTCGGCAGTCCGGCTTGTAGGTTCCTGCTCCCCTTCAATCACATGACTGAGACGGTTGGTGCTTGTACAGTGGGCGTCTTGGCACTGGACGAGTGCCTTGTAATCGCACTGCCCAATTCGTACGCCCCGCGACGAGACCTCGGAAAATCTGTCGTTGCCAACCTTATGATCTGGCTAAGTGCTGTCATTCTCACGATTCCGGTATCCGTTAACACCAAGAGCACACAGACGTTATACCACTCATCCTTCTGCACAGTGAGTATGCCTGGCCCTACACTCGTTATCCAACTGTACACCTTCATTGTTAGTTTTTGCGTCCCGGTGGTGTTTACCTTAGGATGCCTCCTCTGGATTTTGTACAAGTCCAATGGTAACTTCTGGAGACCCGCCAAGGATGAAAGCCAGCCACGCAGCAAGCAGACGCGAACCACTGTACTACTGATCGCGTCTCTCATCTGTGCCCAGGCCCTGCTCTGGCTCCCCCATCATGTCATCTCGTTTCTCCAGCCAGGGATCCACAGCGAGGCGACGACTCGCGGTGATTTCCTGTCCCATACCACTGTGGCCTGTTACGCCTACGCGTACTCTGCAGTAAAACCTTTGCTGTACGTCTTCCTCAGTGGAGACATCCGCGATCGCTTCGTTGAAGCCATCCCCTTTGGGAAAGGAAGCGACGTCCGAGGGATCGGTCGTGGGCGACGCTTGCCAACCTCACCCAATCGGTACTTGAGTGAGAGAGGCTCCAAAGCTGGCAAGGGGCCGTCAGTGACAACCTCTATGCACACTGTCCATGGGTATCCTTACATCGTCGAGGTGGATGGAGAGGATAGGATTGTGATGAATGGTCTAGACAGGAGATGGAGTTTATAAGCCTTTGCTTTGGACTATTGCAACTATTGAGGGACATTAGCTTTCTCTGAAAAAAGATTTCTCCTTTGTTAAATGGTTTGAAGCGATGCTGTACTGGTTTGATATGTTAGGCCTCTTCCGAACGTTTGGCTATACTGTTTCAGTGTATTTTCCCCCGACAAGTTTGGAATTGTGACTCGACGGAAAGATAATTATGGGCAATTTGATTAATTGATTTCTTGGACGAGTATATTATTAAATTGGCAAGATTTGTGTCTGAACGCAGTACATGTAGTAGCCATATGGGATATTTTGCAAACGATTTTGTATTTTTGTCATTTATATGTATCTCCCTGATACGTAGTTAATCATGAATCCCAAATCCAATCCATGATGGACCTCAAAACAGTAACAACCAGACTAAGATGTGGACCATATCAACCTTCCAAGATACTGGTTTTCAAATATTTAATCCTGATTGAAGGCTTCTGAGAATGGCAATTGATTTTCAGCAAATTAAAGTCCCATAAGCAACGCTGTATTTAATTCCCTAAGTTAATATAGCCGGGCTATTTGTTATCATAAATTATTCGCTACATAGTAAATCCTAAAAGGGAATTGTACAGATCGCGATTTGGATACCGTTTGGACTAATGATGTTGCTAATGTCCGAAATACAGAGGTTAAAGTCTGAAACGATATAATTTTTCACTTTTATTATGAAATACATTACAAAACATTAGTAAATGTAATGTAATGAAAACCCACATATAATTATAATTGTACATTTCAAGTTAAAGCACTAGCATAAGGGCAAATCCAAAAGCCGAATAGGAGGGCTTGTTTACTTTCAGGGGGAGAAAAATGTTAATTTTTTATGTAACCTTGCCTTCTTAGGGGTGAAATTATATTTGGGGGCTTTTCACACGCTTTTTGAAGAAGAGAAAAAATGCATCGAATAAAGCACCGTTCTCTCATTTTATCGAAACATCATTTTTAGCTCACTTTTTTGGGGGGGCGGGGCACGCCCCCATTGGCCCCCTGATCCGTCCTTGCACAGGCAGATGTAGAATTGAAAACTAAATGAATGTGCTTTCCACCTGAAGGTCTGTTGAGATGATATTTGTTCATAACTATAAAAAAACTTGTTTGTTCATGAGTTCAAAACAATAATTTTATAAATGTTCACGTTTGAGGTTTTTAGCCTAGTAAAGACTGTGGACGAAGGACTTTAGGAAGCATTTAGACTAAAAGTTTACACGACTGTAAATGTTGATAATGATGACCGTAATAATTATAGATAGTAATTTATCTGTTTCCTCTATTAACTCATACTTTGTTGTACCAAAAGCACAGTTAAATGTTGATCAAAGCTAACACCTTCCACATTTTTGTCATTTAATGTGATTTCTTTTTATGAATTTATTTTATAGTATTATATTGTAGTTTTGCGTGTAGTTTCACATGCTTGTGCAAACAGTGTTTATGTGTTCATATTGGCTTTTCCTTTTCTTCCGCTTAATGTGGATTCTACAATTTGTAAGTTGGCGGAAATCACTAATACCAATTTACGAACCGTGAATAAAAATGAACGTGTTATATACGAATAAAGAGGAATTTGGATGTTTTAGCATACCGGTGCTTGGTTTTTAACAATCCTCCAATTGTAACACTCAGAAATCGAAATTCTGGTCGACATCAGAACAACTGAATGCCAATACCGTTCGATTAATTTATTTTCAAACAGTAATTCATTTGTACGTACTAAAAATGGAATGGTAATTAAAACCGGAAGAAGCTCTGAGTTCCAAAATTTATCTTATATCTTTTAAAGTTGTCTTCTCTCAAATCCCTTATTCTATTTACCGCGTGCTTTTGGTTTTAGCGACGCGCTTTGGGTTGACGAACTTCTCACGCAGCTGGTTGAGTTCTTTCAAGATTGTCTTCAGCTCTGGTCTCCGGTTCGGTTCCTCAAACACACACCTGTCTCCTATCGTCTTGAAACCAGACAGGAGTCGGTTCTCTTTAGCGATGTCTTGCAACACAATCCCAAGACTGTAGATGTCCGACTTTACGTTGTACCTGCTCCTGCCCTCCACAATTTCTGGCGCCAACTGAGTGCAGTTTTTGAAGGCGAACATCATTTGTACGAAGGTTAAGATCATAGGCGGCGGTGGGCTCTTGATTCGCGAGGCTTTCCCTAAATCAATGATTTTGCCCTCCCAGGTTGCAGTTAGTTTCTTGGGATCTCGCCAGACCATGATGTTACCAAAGTGCAGGTCGTTGTGCGTCCAACCAGCTCGATGAAGCGTGTCAAGTCCTTCGGTGACGTCAATGCAGATTCTCACCCAATCCAGAGGCAGCAGACGAGGACCCTTGGAATTTTTGTACAGCAATTTGAGGGCACTCCAAGACTTCATCGTGCGGCTATTCCCGACGAACTCCTGACCGAAGGAATAGAGGTCAAGTACTCCCAGGAACTTGGGGAAGACTCTGCAAGATTTCACTGCCTCCATGGCACGTATTTCTCGCAACATTTCCTGGGTTCGTTTGTCTTGGCTTTGGCACCCTCCTACTTGTGTTAGCCGTTTAACGGCCATGAGAGTACCATCCAAGTGAGATCTCATGAGGTATACGCCTCCATAATTCCCAATTCCAAGTTTGATGGGAGTTCCTTTCTTAGTCTCCACAGGCTGGACATCTTTCTCGTCAATGATGGGAAGGCCTAAAGCTTGTAGGTCCTTGGAGCTGGTAGCTTTGGGTTGGGCTGGAGATCCTTGTTTCTGAATGGACTTCAGGAATGTCTTTCTGTTAATAGCAGGGCAAGGGGATGGTGTCTTTGATTTCGATGGCTTAGTAGGGGGCTGCGATGTTGAAATTGCACTCTTCCCAGAAGGAACCTTCGGGGTTGCTGGCAACGCTGGTTGAGGCGCACAGGAGGGGGTTACTGTTGCCACTTGGGTTGCCTGACTCAAAACACAGTTCTGAACAGAACGCCCTGTGTTTCTACTCAGATTAAATTTGGTCCTGCTGACGTGCCCGCTCACAGACAGATGCTGCTGCTTGTGGTGAGATGTTCTGCTTTTCCGCTGTTTCCTATTGTAGTGTTCAAAATAGTAAATGAGAGTAAATGCCATAATTAAGACAAAAATGATGACTCGTTTTATTGTACCTGTTACTAAACTTTTTCTCTGGATCCCAACTCTTAATCAATATTCTTGGAGATTTTTAAAATTTGATTTCTAATTAGTCCTACCTTTTATTAGTTTCTTCGACCACAATCTTTAACTGGTTCAGCAGTGTCTCAGCTCTCTTACCATTTTCTTCGATTTCCTGGATGAAAGATGACATCAGAGTGTCAGTATAAGACGGGTAAAAACCTGAATATGATATCGAGATTAATCATCATCTTACACTGTTTAGTGTAACAAAATAAAGACATTTAGACATAGCACAACGACGGTCGAAAATAAACCAAACATCCTGAGCACCCCAAACAGAGCAAAAAATCAACAACGTCACTCTTGGTCAAACCTTCAAGTCGTCAACTAATCCCTGAAATTGTCAGAACACAGAAGGCCTGCTCCCAAACCAAAGAGGTCAATTAAATACCACTGTCTTACCTTTCTCTCGTCACTGGTATATACCGACGTGTTGCTGGTCAAATCTCTGAGGGTTTGCAGATCTATTCTTCTCTTGATGTAGGCGGTGATCTCCTGGATTCGGCGCTGTTTCGCTCTAAGTGAAAATGTTTGCATCTCCGCCGCCAAGACGTCAGGTTTGACATCCAACTGAATCAACGAGACAGGGAGCGAGGCAATTATCGAATGAAGGATCTACTGTCGCACAGGCATAGTAATTTAATCGTGTAACAACGTGTACGAAGTTAGCTCTCAAATAAGCTCACGATGTTCCGGTGAGTCGGGGTTGCTTCTTGGGTTGTGTCTTGATGCAGAGTCACCGATGAGGGCGCCTGACTATTACTCCGCGGGTCCCTCATTACCCACCGCGGTGATGTTACTCTCGTCGTGAGCTGAGATGGAGCGATTTTGAAGCTCGTGATGTCTGTTGTGCTACGTGATGCCGTTGACATTCTCCCAGCTCCCTCCGCTGATTTTGCAGGTTTTTCTTGGATGGTTGTCGGAGAAAAATCCTTCTTGACTACTGGAGACACACTAGCTAGGCCTATACCTTGCTTCTTCAAGCAAGTTTTAGCGGTCGAACTTCCAGATCTGATCAAGGAAGTCTGACCTGAGAAAGTCTTCTGTTTCTCCTCGTGCAAATTCTTGCAGGAAGGTTGAAATGAATCTAGTTTTTCAAGCAAGTTGATTTCAACTTTTTGCTCGCTGCTGCCCGCATTCTCTACATGAATGCACTCATTCCTGGCGAAAATAGCAGTAAAGGAAGAGGAGAAAAAGTCAACCTCTGTTATCTTCTCTTGCTTATAAGGCAAACAAACCGTGAAATGTTTCAGACATCACAGTTACTGATATTGAATATTAAATATTAATGTTCTTCAACCTCACTGAATTAAAACAACAACAACAACAACAACAATGACAACAGTGCTTACCCTAGTGTTGCTCCTAACTCTTCGCAGTTCTTGGCACTTGTTCCAGGAGTGCTCAACACACCTGCATCTCTGTTAGTATTCTCAGAACCGTTGTCAATGTGAGGAGCGTGGCCACCATTTCCTAACTTAGGATTAGGCGATCTGTCGCTCTTGGGAGAACCTTGAGAGGGATGTTCCCTTTCCGGTAATCCATTCCAGGGAACTACTTTCCGGCGGGAAAATATTCCAAAGAATTTTTCAATCCGGCGTCTGGTATGAAAGTGAATAAAACAAGAGGATTGTCTACATTACTTACAGACTTTAACAGGACGGCGCTAACATAACACTCCCAATAAAACTTGTTTAAAGGTTTAGGTCTTTTTTTTTTTTAAAAGGAAAACCACAAAACTGAAATATTTTTCAAACCAGGACCTAGGACCATGCTAATAACGAGACTTCACACGAGCTTGAAAAAGAAAGGCAAAAAAGGAA